ACTCTGATCAGAGATTGTTGATAAACCTATAAGCCTTTCGCTCATAATTTAGCCTATTGTTTCTGCTATCTGTCATTTTAGAACTTTAACGACCGTATGTGATGTTTTTATACCCGTCAAATCTTTCCCCTTTTCCAAAAATTTAACCTAGATCGACTGTTTATGAGCACGTTTTCCTATATTTTCATTAAAGAAAACCCATTTTACAAATAAAATTACAAAAATACTGATGTCTAGAACGGATTAATTGTATTTGCATTAATTTCTATGGGAAAAATTGCTTCGGTTAACGAACGGACTCGTGGAACGGATTACGTTCGTTAACCGGAGTTCCACTGTATTAATATATATAACAAAAAATCCAACTAAGTGAGATCGAAAGAAACAAACAATCGGCTTCCCTCTAGAAACACCATACACACAAAAAGAGCCACAACATGACAACTGCCTCCATGCATCACAGTATCGTGTTTTAACCTTATGTTTATAGCATTGCTTAGGGGATAATAAAGGCTATCGCATTTCGAAAATGCGCAGGTAGACAAAACGGTATCTCGCGATGGCCGGCAGGTCGCTTCTACACCCCTAAAGCCAGAGCGTTGCAATGGATATAAAAAGCATTTTAGTGCCTCGTACGTATTGTTGCTTACGAGTAACGCTCGCATATGTTTATTTTGATTTATACGATAGAAAATGTGCAACGGGACTGCGTACTAAATCCATTTGCAATCCACTGGTTTATGGAGAATACAAATGAAAGGAAATATTACTTCCTTGAGAAAGTTACTTTATGAAACTATATTGTACCTGTCATCTGATGCTCCCGTTTTAATACTTAATCTATGTAAAGTGAAATGTCTTGTCTACAAGGACTATATTAATTATGTAGTATATAGTCCTTGGTTGCTAGGTGAGTGTTCTGAATCGCGTGACAGAACGTAATCGGTGTAAATATACCACGGTTGGAAAGTGAATAGAAGCGTGGTACTTTGTCATCTTTTGTTTTATTATTGCCAAATTAAAAAATATATATATAAGTGAAACAGAAGGCACGGAGTTTATTTATTACAAACAAATGGATGATATCACGTATATTGACTTATCCTTGACATTCTTTCTTCGTTAATAAGTTCAGGATATAAATTTTAGAGATTATTCCTTTATTCCTTCCTACATAAAGCAGCTTAATTAATTAAATCACTTTGTTAAAGAAGCGATTTCTCATACTCAGAATAACTCAAGAGGATATGCATAAGCGGGATAAAACTCTCCTTTCGCCTTGTTTTTTTGTTCTGTATAATATTTATTTATTTACATTTTTAAAATATTATTTTAAGAATCATATGATATATTATAATATTATGACACGATTAAATTGAAAAAGTAGAAGGCATAGCGCTAATTAGTTTTAAATGACAAATGCTTTTTTATAAATGATTGATTGATATAAAACTGTATTATTATTAGTTTTATTAAGATAATTCTATTTGTTTACAGGTAATTACATCTATATATTCATAATTTACTTCTACTCGTTGTCCAAGTCTTTGAATCTATCTTATTCTAGGCAAAGATCGGTAAAAACAATAGTGTACTGAATACAAAACTTTCGCTATATATCGTTGACTTATATTGTTTTTTCTTCTTATATGCAAATATATGATTAGCATAAATTTGTAAAATTGTTATTTTCATGCATCTCACTGCCATAGTTATTTATACCTGCGCATTGCATTAAGAAGTAAATCTTTCTTGAATTTTGTATAAGTTATCAAAATTTCTCGAGATAATATATATAAAGATTCAGGAATACAGATCTTTTTTGCTTCTCAGTGATTATTCACTTTAAATTTAAACATTTTATTTACTTCGAGAAGCGCCGTAAACACAGAAAGATACAGTCGTTCAATCTTTCAATACAGTAGAGCGTCGTTTATCCGAATCAGTTGGGGACTGAGGTTGTTCGGATAAGTTATTTTTCGGATAACCGATTATATACGAAAAAATACATTAACTTATCCCCTGTTGAAATTTCTCTCCGTTGCGTGTCGCTTCGCGTTGAATTTTCGTCGATGTTAAGCCTAATGTAAACTTTTTAAAATGATAATCGTGGCTATTGTATCGTTAAAAATTATTTCTTTATTGTTTACAAACAAAATAAATATATTGAAAAATATAAAAACAAAAAAAATCTATACTTCAGAAGTTATCTAGTATCAAAAACGTTTGATTCAGCATGACACACAGTCCTCAGAATAACACCACACAAAAGTGACAGTGCTGCCAGCTAAAACACATACACAAACATAAAAAATATTGGAGTAGCCCAAGATATAGCCAAAGATTGCAGCGCCACAGCACTAGCGAAAATTTAAATTTGCCAACTGGAATTCTTTCGGATAACCGACTTTCGGATAAACGACGCTCTACTGTACTTGGAATTTGAAACTCCATTTAATAAAATTGTATAAATTTCAGGATTTGTATGAATGTTTTCAAGATTCAAAGTACGTTTATTTCGTTTATACATAAAACATAATACAGAATATTATTGTAAATTTTTATAATAAGATTTTTAAAAACAAAGGTAGTCAATAATCCGATCACTCGATCTGGTTTTTATTTTAATAATGAAAAGTCCTGATACCGAGAATGCCCTTTTCGATTCAATCGATGCGGGTTGAATCGTTTTTAATGCATTTAAGAGAAGATAGAGGTTATGTATTTTTAACCTGTAGCCGCGAAGATTTTTAGTTCGTTTTCAAGATGCGTTGTACAGTATTCTTGATTTGTCTACCTCGGCTGTTTTAATAGCGACATAAAGCTTATAGCCCGATAATTCGGCAGTTCGTTTGGCTTTAATAATTAGGTTTATAAAGAGAAACTTTATGCTTGAATGGTTTGTACTTGTTTGTATCTTTGCCGAATTTTCACAATCCGGCATAATGCAGTTATTCAAGCTGCTGGGCATGGTTAAATATTAAGGGCATCAGTGCGATTTTACAAGATTTTATAGGTTGTAAGACTCTGGAAACTCTTTACTGGAAAGAGTTTCCAGAGTCTTACAACAAAAATCTCGGGTTAAAAAATCAGCCTGGATTACGAGATCCAGTTAGAGAAACCCTACTTCAAAGTAAACCATAAAGCAAAATATCCTCATGTGGAAAATTAATCTTCATGAATTGCATTATCTCTAAGCCCCAGGAAGTAACACCAGTAAGACAAAGTAAACATAAAAAATAATAATGGAAACACAAATCTCGAGTAAAAATCGAATCTATTCACTGATCTTCCTGGTTTCAGTGTGTTACAAAACTTATATCTCCATCTGCTTTCAACTTTAATTAGTTTCTCCTTAGAATTACTACGCTTGTCAGTTTGTTTTTCTCTGGATTTACTGGGAGATGACTCACGTTTCTGCAAAATATATTTTAAAAAATAAGCAGTACATACTTAATACTATTTAACTTTTCAAAAACTGTAATATTTTCAACGTACATGTGAATTAGGCTCTGTCAGTTGATGGGCTAATGCATATTCTATTAAAGAAGCAGTTACAAATGAGGTACAGGTAAATAACCAAATATCCAAAGCTTTGACGTAGTTAACGGGTGGACTGTACGATCTGGATTGTACCACTTGAGTAATTAGTGTCAGGATGGACGTCACTCCCAGTGTGATTCGAGCAGGAACCGAATTCACGTCCAACCAGAATGATAACCACGAAAGAACCACTACCAAACTACTCGGTACATAAACATTAATTATATTGCCGGTTAGGCGGCGAATGAAAGTAAAATGTACAGCCAAGTAACTGAAACTTCCTGGTTATAGAAAAAACAATATAAATCTACGCTTGAATTTCAATATAGTCATTTTTACTTACCACCAATATATATCTCAGTTCCTTTGTGAGGTTTTGGAATCTTCACTTCATACTTAAGGGGTTGAATATCTTCTGTAAAAATAACACTCGGTCCATAATCTTTATAAGGACTATCTTTAACACCTGCCCACTCTAACAATGCGTTTTCATTTGAACTGGTTACTGTGAGAAAACAATAGTTAATACACATCCTGAAAAACTTTCTTGTAAAGAGTTTAAAAGATTTACTATTAAGAAAGACATTAAATTATTCTTACGAAAACATATTTTGAAAACACAATGCTGAATATCAAATGGATAATAATGAAGTTTCATGGGACATGACACTCGAAAACTGTATCTGTAAAAAGTAAAATTATAGAGTAACATCCAATAACGGTAACCTCTAAACAACGATTAATTTTTATGTTCTTCTCTTTGCCTGTAGTTCAGAGGTTTCACTGTATTATGATTATTATTTTATAAATTTATTAGCAAAAAAACCTGATATCCGCGAGATAAAATAAGAATTTTTCTTGCGAACCTTATACCAGGGTAGCATATTCACATGGTACACTGGTGATTCTGATACTGAATTGTTCCAAAGTGTTTCCTATACAAAATTATAGGGAAATTTCAGAATCTTGATATCCAATATCTGTGGAACGTATTATTGGATAAGAGAGAACACGAAAACCTAATGGCATATGTGAGGGCTCACTTTATCTATTAACAATTAATTCGTTAAAATTTACTGCGAAATTTAGAACGGTCCCTAGTGAAAAATATTGCCTATATTCAGAATACATATAGATGGATTTAAAAAAGTAATACTGTAATCACAATACCTTCACTAAGATTAAGATTGAAAAATCATACCTAGATAACTTTCTAATAGTATTGTCTTGATATATCTTGATTGCTGTATTCGGAATTGAAAACTGGAAAAGTTGCCCCCATTTGCTATTGTCAAAAACCAAATCTGGTATCCAGATAGATTTTGCAGCTTTCGGATGAAGTACTTTATAATTCGTTATGTTCAACATTTCGAGTCTCAGTCTGGGATCCTTCCATCGTTCTGTTTGAAACAAGTGCATTCGGAAATCCTGAAAGATACAGCATGAGATTTTTCACAAATGTATAGAATTTCGTACATTAAAGCTATTGTTCATCTCTTACCATTGTCGTTTCTGTTATATCATCGATATCAAATATCTCGAGATTTAAGTAAACAGTAACAGGTTTTCCTGGTTAAAATCAGAAAACAAATTGTATAATTAATTAAATTGTTTTCAAAGATATCTATTACATAACAACTTTCTTACCTTCAACACGAGGAGGATCATATTTATCATAATCATCGGGTATTACATAGCGCCAGATCCTATCAAATTCTTCACTGAAAATGAAAATACAATTGAAATTTCTTTTAATTTTCGGTCCACCGGTGGCCAAGCGGTTACATTTCCTGAACACTGGGAGTTTGGGACTTGGGTTCGCGCCTGTTATCCACATGTGTAATGCCTGAAAAGGTGCCGGTTACCCTTAAAAAGATCTCCCAAAAGGCATCTCCCTAGGCAGATTGCCCAAATGTTGCATTGCTACAACTTAACAAAACAAACTTTCAATTTTCATAAACAGAATTAATAAGGATCTTCTACATTTTTATTTTTAGAATTAATTTATAAAAAATTATAAAAATGTTCATTTACAACATGAATAAATAAAAGAGCAATTTTATGAACATTATAATTCGAATGTGTTGATGAGATATGCCTACGCAATACATAGGCAAACTGCCAAAAAAAAAAAGATATTTAGACGTGATCTTCATTGGCAAATCTCCCATTTGTTGTGAATTAAATTTATGAGATGGTTTTTCCCACAGAAAGAATTGAATTTATGGTATAAGGTTGCACAATAAACAAACTTATAGAGCTCCAAGTAGCCACGGCCACCAGTACCTAGTGGATAAAACTACCGAACAGTGGTAGTTGTTCGAGAGTTTGAGTCTGGCCAATGGGCTGGCTACATGTAGTTTTCTGGGTTTTCTTTACGTTAGTAACACCGACCATAATAGAGGCAGGTTTTCGATTGAAATTCTCCGGGAGCCATACTCTCGGAAGATCGACCACGTGTGTCCCGTTGCCGTAATGAAATAAATCAAACCAAACCAATTCAAGCAACCAAACCAAAAAGCCAGACTCAAACCCTCGATCAGTGTTCAGTTGTGTTATTAACTTAGCTACTGTAGGACCAAAACTAAAAATAAAACTTTTTGAAACTTAAATTAGTACTAAAAATTAAGAATTCGTTTCAATTTCTTTGTTCAATGTGCAAAATAACAATTGTTTGTGTGTTTAAGAGAATAGACATGAATGGATAATAATTTTTTATTCTATTCTCAAATTACTTTCAATAAACTCTTATAAGCAGTTTTAATTCTTCGAAAGATTTAAGTTAATTTAAAACGAATTCTTTTTATTAGTAATTTATCAACACGAAAGAGCAAATTTGAGTTTTTTATACATTAATTTAGGTTTCAGAATAATTTGAATATAAATGTTTATTATATTTTAAATACAATTTAGTATAATCAAATTTAATTAAGTACTTACCTTAAACACAATTTACTTAATTTTAGAATAAAATAAAGTTGAAAAATATTCATTTTTGTTTAAGCTCTAAGTAAGGAGTGAGGATTTTACTGCATTACTAATTATTACAGCAGGTAAGAATGGCGTGACATTCGTGTAGAGCNTATTTTAAATACAATTTAGTATAATCAAATTTAATTAAGTACTTACCTTAAACACAATTTACTTAATTTTAGAATAAAATAAAGTTGAAAAATATTCATTTTTGTTGTAAGCTTTAGGAACGGACTGAGGATTTTACTTCATTAGTAATTACAGCAGGTAAGAATGACGTGATATTCGTGTAGAGCCGCATGTATTGACCAAGGTTTTTACAACAATACTCATTAGTTTTAATTAAAGTAATACAAATCAATATTTTCGTAACTGTTTTAATGTAAATTTTACTAATGATATATTTTGTCAATATATTTTATGGAACTACGTGTTGCTTTTGTTAAATTAAACGCATTGCAAATAGAGTTATATAAATTTTTAAATACGATACTTCTGTATTCGGCATTTGTGGCTACTCTTTATGCAGTGCTGCAAACATATAGGCCAAAACAATCAATCAATTACAAAATTAGTCAGGAAGACATTTGTAGTATAGGTTCGATATACTTTGGTTATAATTTTTAACCTCCTTACTTTTATTTTTTTTTCTACTATATTTACTTACATTTATACAACTATCCTATTTAACTCTTGTGTCAATAAAAATAAACAGTGTACACGATCTATTCAAACTGTTTAAAAGTAGTATTGTAATATTACACAGTGCTAACAGATGGCGATACTTAACACTTCAATAGGAGGTCTATAAACATAAGGTTAAAACACGATACAGTAGAGCGTCGATTATCCGAAAGAATTCCAGTCGGCAAATTTAAATTTTCGCCAGTGCTGTGGCGCTGTAATCTTTGGCTATGTCTTGGGCTACTCAAATATTTTACGTTTTTGATACTAAATTAACTTCTGAAGTATAATTTTTTATTGTTTTTATATTTTTCAATATATTTATTTTGTCTGTACAAAATAAAAAAATAATTTTTAACGATACAATAGTCTTCGTTAGGCTTAACACTGACGAAAATTCAACGCTAAGCGACACGCAACGGAGAAAAATTTCAACATGGGATAGGTTAATATATTTTTTCTACATAATCGAATATCCGAAAAATAAGTTATCCGAACAATCCCAGTCCCCAATTGATTCGGATAAACGACGCTCTACTGTACTTTTCTATAGTCGCACGCACTTTTACATTACATAAACTGCAAACAGAAGCTCAAATGAAACATTTTTATAAATTAAAATCAGATGAAGAAAAAAGAAAACCATTCTCTCAAACTTTACATATTATATAAGGTAAAACTTCAAAGGTATTTGCAAGAAAAAATAACTTCCTTCATTTAGGAACTTTCTTATTCATAAAAACTAAGTTTAATTATTTTTATAAAGTGGCAAGCACTTTTACATTACACAAACTGTAAACAGGAGCTCAGATGAAACATTTTTATAAATTTAAATCAGACAAAAAAAGAAGAAAACCATTCTCTCAAACTTTACATATTATATAAGGTAAAACTTCAAAGGTATTTGCAAGAAAAAATAACTTCCTTCATTTAGGAACTTCCTTGTGCATAAAAACTAAGTTTAATTATTTTTATAAAGTGTTAAATAAGTATACTTATAAAAATATATTAAACAGTAGATAAAGAGTAGAAATATCAACTTCAACTTTATTTATTGTTGACTTATGTAACAAAGATTAATTTTTATGTCTTTGTTTATCTAAATATATAAAATTACTTGTTCTGACTGACTTAGTCACTGATTCATCATCGCCAGAGCAAACCACTGAATCTAAAGATGTGAATTTTGGTACACAGTTAGGGTACATCATGGAAACGCACACTAAGAAGAGATTTTTCGAAATTTCTAGGCGGGGGAGAGAGAGAGAACTAAGGCTTAACCGGAAGAACGGCTTCTACTGTACTATTTTAGATACAATTTTTTATTTTTATCTGCGTTTTAGTAGGGTATGCCATGGCAATGCACACCAAGAAGTAATTTTTCGAAATTCCCCCGCGGGAGGGAAAGGATTTAGTCTTCATCGAGTACTTATGTGTATTAAATTAATAAAAATATTTACAGCAATGTCTGAAACGTTATCTATTTTGATTTTAAAAATGTTCGAACCGTTTTAAATTCGAATTTGTTATTGCATATTGGTTCGATTATAGAACGATTGTAAACGTTCCAGAAAATTGATCAAATTGAAAATAGTTCGTTTGATTCTCGGCGGTAGGTGTTATATAAGAATTACTATGGTTGTTGAAATACTGAATATAAATGGGGTTTGCTTGCAAAATCAGCGCGGGCAAAGCCGCGGGTAACAGCTAGTTTTAGATATATTTTTAAAACATATTTTACATACATTCTGAAATGAACAAAAATTCCAGCTTTTCTACACCTGAATGACAATTATTGAGTTGTGTTTGATTTGTTCGTCGATTAAATGAAAATCTGCTTAAACTGAAATTTAAGTTAAACATTAATTTATAAACAGATTCCAATTTGGAAAATGAAATAAAACTTTAAAATTATCTTAACAGTTTGCAGTGCCGGCCCGAGGTAAGTTTTAGGATGGAGCGAGATCCTATNTTATCCAACATCATCTTTCTCGACTTTGATCTCATTTAATTGTTGACTATGACATCTGCTCTTTTTGATATTTTTTTTCTGGTTTCGTTTTGCTTTCTAAACTGCGTCTTAACTTTAATATTTTAAATTTTCTTCTTTTATATCTAAAAGTTTGTTTTTCCCGTTATTGTTTATGAGTGCTGATGTCAAAGTCCGGTATCGCCGATTCGATACTTATATAATTTGCTTTCTTGACGATTTAACTTAACAAACTTTTTTTTTTCTTATATCTTTCCCTTATGCGGGGACTATTTCCGGGGCCTCACAGATCGTGCCGGCGCTTCGAAGTGGACTCGCCAACTAAAACAGCGGTGCCTGCGGTGACAACTCTGTTGGCACCGCAGGTGGCACCCCTGCCTGCGGTAGACGGGGTTGGAACCCCGCCCACGCGCGTCTCAACAGATAAGGCCATTCATATACTGGCCACACGCTTGCAATTAAAATATCGAAAAGTGAAAAAAATATTTTTTTCTTTAATTTTCTTTACCACTGAGGCGCCCCCTAGGACTTAGCGCCTGGAGCGGCTGCTCAGTTCGCCCTATGGTAGGGCCGGCTCTGACAGTTTGACATATTAAAAAGGTAATTTGATTCTTTTCATCCTACGGGCAATAAGAGGACCATTTTAACCATTCCATAGGAGAGCCGGATGGTCGAGTGGGTTAAGTGTCAACGTACTGCTCTGGGAAATCCGGTAACTAATCCGATCGAAACACCCTAGAAATTTTTCGGGGTGGTCCTTCTCGGATTGTCGGGTACCCGCCGTTTCTTTATGCAGCGAAAGTGTAGCGAAATGACGTCACGAGCAGTATTGGCCAATTAGAAACCAGTTTCAGTGTATTCGCTGTAAAGCGCTTCTCGAGCGCTGCATAAAGAAACGCGAGGGTAGAGAAAATTCCTTACCACCCGGTCGCCCACTAGCCAAACTCAAGATGGGCATGATAAAAATATAATTTCAGTGAGCACAGGGCAGAAAAAAAAGCTGGGCCCATAATGGAGGCGAGAGTAGGCTATTGACAAAGGATAGTGATGGACAGGACCATATCTAAAACTCTGAAGTTGTTTGCCCAGGTCCTCCAGAGCGGTAGTTAATATTTGGCTGTTATGTCCAAATATTAACTACCGCTTTTAGACAATAGAAGATACAGTAATTTGTTTTCATTCTTTATCCCATCAGACTAACATAAATTGAAATTTCGTCAAAAACATTTTGAATAATTTTGGTCTTTGGATGCGATTAAATGTTATTTTAGGCTTAAAATCAACCTTGTTCATTGAAATCGGCTAAAAAAAATGTCAGTGGCAGAATTTAAAAAAAAAAACACTCCAGCAATAAATTTCACTGAAGGTTTGAGAAATTTACATAGAATAGAATTTCATGCTCAATTAACGTTATTTACATTTTAATCCTGACTACGTAACAGAAATTATAACTTTTAACTGGATTTGAGAAATTTGCATAAGGGATGATGATATCGGGTTTGCTGCCACAAATAACATTCCATAACGTCAATGTTCTGCACGCTGAGGAAGTGAGCCGATTAATCAAATCTTTAGTGCGGAAACTTTTGATAATCTGGATTTTTGAAGCACAGATCTATGGTTAATTAATTAACTATATAATGATTGTTGAATAATGATTGTGTTCTAACTTCAGTTTTTTTTCTTAGTATCTGTTTGTAATATAGAATTAATATGAGTCTTAAGAAAAGATAATCGATTAGCAGATGACGAATTAGAAGTGCATTTTGAACCAATTGCCCTTCCAGTCTAATTTAAACAAGTGTATTTTTAGATATAAACCAATAATTTCCATTGATCACTTACACGTAGCGAAATTAGGTTATTTTGGTGAGCGACATTAACATTTCATGATGATACTTCTTACAATGAATTTTTTTACATCAGAAACAAATAATCATTACATAGTAACCTTCCAGTTGTTCCTGACAAATTCTTAAGTGTAGTAATTTGTTGTCAAAACCAAATACAGTAAGTTTATAATGTCACCAAATTCTACTTTAGACCATAACTCAATCTACGATGATGCTGGATATGGATGGACACCTTGACATAATGAAACTTTCTCTTCATATAAAACAGCATCTCCTATGTCAGACTGCAAGAATAGCATCTTTTTTAACTTTGTCCATGATATAAAAAACCATAGGCAAGCTAAGCTATACCAAAAACATGCCGAAGGGGCAGAGCAAATGTCCGTTTTATCACGTGGCATGCAACCTTGAAACCCCTCTATTGTTTATAATTATTGTATGATCCACTTTATGTACTGTATTTCCTCCAATCTGATTTGCAGTCATACCTTTCCTAAACCCCCTTTCTTCAATGTACTTACAGCTTGTGGATTACATTTAGTATTTTCTCTACAAGTTAAAATGTTAAGAAATCTGTTGTAATATAGTTTTTTTTTGCATTAACTCTGAGCATTGTTTATTTTAATTCAAATTTGGTTACCAAATTGTTAAATAAAAAAATCTTCACCTAATTTCTAATAGGCACCACCACAAAAACGTGTAATTGTGTATAGTAATGAGGTCTACACACAAGTTTCAAACTCATACTATAGTGTTTTAACTGTGAGATTTTGGTTAAAGACACGATCAACTACCAATTTCAAAAGATTAACTTCTGCTTAGTCATATTTAACAGATTAATAGCTCTTCACACACAAATTTGTCTTCATCTAAAGCTGTTTCTAAATATTTAAAAAAAAAAATTTCAAAATTTTATCACAAAAACAATACAATTCCAAAAAGTTCCCTCTAATCTGTATCTAAAAAATATTATTGAGCAGCCCAAATGACAGTTAAGTTATATTCTATTATTTCAAGTGTGGTTAGAACTACCCCAGGATGCATATTAGTTATTCATGATTTAGTCACATCCAATGAAGCAATGAAAAATAGCACTTCCAAACCAATTGTAAGCATTTTGAGTTTTAAAATTTGTCTTGGTTAACTGACTTTTGACACAATGCATCAATTTTTATGCAGAAAGTAATTAGAGCAATCTAGAATAGTTGCAGAAAACTTAAAATGAAACCTCTGATAACTACTGCTAGATCCAGAAAAGTGAATAAAAATAAAATAAAATTGTATTATTAAATTTTATTAATACCATTTTGTCATATAAATGCTAATCTTTTGTTCATTTGTGTAATGAGAATAAATAAAAAATTCTGAAGTTTTCTTCCACAAAACTTTTATTTTTAAGGCATGTACACTTATGCAAACTAATGTTGCAATTTTGCCGCTAAACGTCTGTCTCTCTCCTCTGCTACAGACAGTTTGACTCCTTTGCCTCTGGGAAGGGAAATGTAGGGTTTGTTTCCTTTTCCAATTACAAATATGTAATTCAACCTGTAATCAGTTTATACCATTAAAATAATTGTTAAGGTAATAGAAAAATATTGTATTTAATTAGAAATACTTCAGAAAGACTAATCGACAATCATAGAAATTGAAATCATGACTAGTGTTGTCATCATTATTTTGATTATCTCAAATTTTTAAATAATAAAATAAAGTTGATAGATATCAATCTCGTTTGAGTTAATTTAATCATTCAATTTATTATCTTTTAGCAGCATTAGATGAAAATGAGAATACTGAAGAGTGCAAATACTGTTACAGTCAACCCCCCTATAACACTGTTGATAATTCCGTTTTATATGAATTCCATGTTGTACGAGTCACTTAGATTTTACAAATACGTGAGCCGTTCATGGCCCGGCACACATATTTATAAAATCTAAGTGACTCGTACAACATGGAATTCATATAAAACAGAATTATCAACAGTGTTATAGGGAGGGGGAAACGACTGTATTTTTATTTTTTTTTTATAAATTTTTTTGGTCATTCATAGAATTCCTGATAAGTAAACAAAAGTATTAAAATAAAATTATGTTTTGCATGTCATCCAATCCAAGAAGCTTTTAGCTTACAAGAACTCAATACTTTGTGAAATTTATACAGAATCTGGCAAGAAAATGAGTGATTATAAACACAGTTTTTAACAAATTTTCAAATACTAGTTTATCATTCGTTTTGTAGATGAAATCAAGCCAGTGAGTGACATCTACTGATGCACAGACAATCCTTGCATCTTCAAACCATGTCATGAATACTGCAGTGCAAAATATTCTTAGGTAAATTACACCAATTGGTGGATAGTCTTAGGTATATTATTAATTACACAATAAATTTTTGCCTTGTGTGTCAATATTTGTTAAAAAGAGTAATAAATGAGCATCATCCTCAAAATATTGAAACTCTCAAGACAAAAATTCCTCATGCAAACAACATATTCAAGAATATATTGCACTGTTCTATGCAGAACACAGTTTCAAGACAAAGACTGTGATACAAGGTACAATTGAATGTACGACATCCAATTTCATCACAAATGTTAAATATTTATAGGAAAAGAAATTAAAACAAGTTATTATTATTGAATGCACTAAAAATTAAATTGAAATATTCATCATTAATCAACTTAAATTAGCATTTACCTTGTAGCAAAACTATGGCCTTGAGTGTCTTTGACATGAACTATATCAAATGAACCAGGATGCCTTTCTCTTGATGTTATAATACCAACTCGACCCAAGTTATGACCACCAGTAACCATACAAAGATTACCTGTAAGAATAATTGAAATTAAATAATAAAGTATTTTATATTTCCAAAATAATAAACAAAATTTTTTGGCTTTTTTCAAAATGTTCTCTAATGTCAATTGAAATACATATCAAACTAACGTGTTTTGGAATCCCAAACAAATGGGTGGAGATAACTAGGTAAATTTGGTGAATGACAACTGAGTGGAAAATTATACAATTCTTGAAAATTTAAAGACGCAAGTTATTCATGGGCATAGACAAAGGTTCCCAACGACTTTGGATTCTCCGTGGTATGGTTTTAGGGATTAAATTAAGATGTCTCTCAGGTGTGGCATGTGCTTCTGAACTTTAATTTACATTATTTGTATAAAGTATAGTGTTTGAAATATGTTTATTTTTTATCCTTTACTTGTAGTAATAAAAATTTTGATTGTTAATAAAATAACTTATTAAATATTCATCTACTTCCTAAAATATTTTAAACAGTTGTTATCAGGGCTGCGGAGTCTGTGAAAAAACACTTGACTCAGACTCTCGATAATTTTAAAAGCTGACTCCGGCAAAATTAAATACCAAGTCATTTTATGGGGGGCAGAGGCACTCATAGGGGGTTACCCTAATCTGAACTCTAACAGGAGCCCCAAGCATTTACCCAAATACTTTTATAGTCAGTATTTTAATATTTAACTTGCATTAGTATAAAAACATTAATTATTAACAATACAAATATTTAATAAGAGGAAAAGGGGAGTGATAAAATTCTACATCTACGCATCTTTATTCTACAGCTTTTGCTCTTCAAATTCACCTTTCCAGAAAAGTTAGTCCAACTAAAAAGTGCGCGATCTAGCTACTTCAGTCCCTTGTTCAGAAAAGAAAAATATATACTCTGATCAATTAATCTGGCTCTTTCAGAGAAATAGAGTACTTATTTAGTGCAGGGATAATAAAGGAATGAATCAAAAATATTCAAATTCATTTGGGTCAAAATATTTTAACTACTAAACAAAAAACTATTGATATATATATTTAATAAATTAAATTGTTGCATTTTGTATTTAAAATAAATGAATTATAACAAAATACAAAACATTTTAAAAAATTATTAAACAAAATAAATTTTCTTTCATTTAAATAAAAAAAACTAAATTTAAAATGCCAGAGTCTACACATTTTTCACGACTCCAACTCCTCTGGCCAGAAATTCCTCCCAACTATGACTCCACAGCCCTGGTTGTAATAAAATACTAAAGTATTAATTATATAAACAAACTCATTCACAAAGAAACTTACCAATGTCAAATTTAATGAAATCCATTATCTTTCCAGTTGCAATATCCAACTGAATGGTATCATTCACCTTAATCAAAGGATCGGGATAACGAATTGTTCGGCCGTCGTGAGTAACCAAAAATGGAATACCTTTCGGGCCAACCTGAACTCGCTTCACTCTGCATAGTTTATACTAAAATAAAAACAATAACAATTAATTACAAAACTTATTACATTTTAAATTTTTTAATTAAATAGCATAATTTTCATTCATATAACTGTAAAATGGGTGAAATAATTTGTGCATACAATACACACAAATTTTGGAACCATCATATTAATATGGCACCATAGTTTTCTTGTCAGAAAATATAAGTAGATATATTCTGAAAAATTAATTTTAATGGTGCAAATACTACGAATCATGGTTTAAAAAATATGTATGATCTGTAGATCAATTTTATTAAATACCTTAGCTTCCTCAGCAGTAATTCTATGTAGGATAAAACGACCTTTCACATCATACAAAAGACGAAAATATTCTCCTGTCTTCTCAATGGTAATAACATCTGAAGTAAAAACATTTTAATATATTACTCATTTAATTCCCAAACTCTTTAAAATATCAAAAACTATTAAACTTTTTATATAAATTAATGTTCGTTTCTTGGGTAATGCTCAAATCACACACAATGAAACAAGCGACCGTGAAAGAAATTTTTATTTATTTTGGCTTTTTTTGATCACGGAAATCTTAATGAAATTATCCATGACTTCGAAAAAGCCAATATCAAACTCAAGAAAAATAAGCAAATTTGTATTCAGGTAAGCCAATTATGATAATTATTACAATGATTATGAACATGAATCAGCTATTTCTAAATATAGTCTATAAAAAAAAAAACTGAAACTGGGAAGCATCGAACACAGTTCTAAATGTATTTTAACCACTAGATATTGAGGTACTATCCAATTTCTAAATGACATTAATAAATAAAACTGTATATACTCAATTTGTTCTTATATTTGAATTTACTAGCACTGATTAAAATAATTTATTACATAGAATATAAATTATCAGACACATCATCAATTTGACATGGTCAAATTAACAATACAGATAAAAAGTTGGATATAAGAAGTTTCATTGAAGTTTAAATAAATAAAAATGAATATTTAGAAATATCTTTACTTAAGTTAATCTGTATTTTCAACAAATTGCATAAACATATAACAAAGCCTTTCTCTATAAATCAAGTTTTTACACACCCATAAAAAATTATTATTATTATTATTATTATTTGTAAATGAAATAGTCGTATTAAATTTTTTTATTTTTGCAGCATGATTTTAACCTCATTGCATCACTTTTCTACTTTAACTAATCAATTTAATATTTATCTTATCATTATACATTTGTTTTAAAGATTGTCATTGTTATATATATATATCTAGTAATGGGCAGATTTAACAATAAAGCCCTAAGGTAAGAGTGAAAACAAACTAGTGAATAGAAGTATAATAGATCAAGCACAATTTGTTGAAAAAATACTGAAAAGTTGTCATGAAGCAAATTATCATAATCATAATATAATGAAAGTTATAATCATGTTTTTCACAGTAATGAAGACAAAACAGATTAATGTAAAAAGAATTACAGATGGTTCATAGTCATTGCCTGCAAATTTACATATTTAACAAATACTTCATTTCAAGTAATTTAAATACTATATAATTTAAGCCATAATAATAATAATTAAACATTATTATAAACGATAATTTTTCTACACTTCTTTGTAATTTGAAATGCATCCACCTTTTCTCAGATATGAAAAATAAACCAGCAACAAGTTGCTCCACTTTCCCAGCATTTAAAATTTTGGTGGTGCCATATGTTAGCATATTTTATTAAAAAATTTATATTTTTAACTATTATAAAATGGCAAAAAGCTTAATTTTGATGGTAGGGATGAGTTTTATGAAAAAATTGTAAATGCTAAGAAGTAAAATCATCATTAAGTCCAACCTTGCAGAGATATAAACAACCCCCATTATCTCCTCATCCCTTGACTTTTAATCACCATAATTTAATAGCATCGACCCCCTAATAAACAAACCTCCCTGCAAAATTTCAGAAATTCTCGACAAAAAGCACGAGTTGTTAATTAAGCTTCAAACAGAGTGAATGGAATTATGCCCCCAAACACACACTAACATCACACATGCAGAAATTACCCCCAAAATTTTTTGCATTTCTTGACATTTCAAGGTGTCCAAAGTCCAAAAATGTAAAATTTTTGCCAGATTGCCATATTTTCCCTCTGTTATAACAGCTGGGAAAGTAAAATAATAATCTCTTCCAGTTCCAATATAAATCAAAATATATGCCACATTTACTTAAACGTAAGATGCAATTTTTAATGGTTTAGTATCTCGAAAATACAGTGTATCTTAGACATAACGTAAGGTGTTGTAATTAGCAATCTCTAATGCCATGCATCTTATTTCTCTGTCACTAATTCTATGCCATCATTTTAATGATTCAGTAACATTGTAAGTACTTAAATGAAAATATCCAAAAAGTTGTGCAGTTCTCTTTCAAGAAATGATGCATTTCTGATGCTGTAAATCAGTGGTTCTCAACCAGGGGTACTAGTGAAAATCAAAGGGGTACATCTAACTTTCATTATAAAATGGCATATGTTAATCAATTTGCTGTAAATTATTAACACAAGAAACAAGAAACGACAAAAACTTGCTTTAAAATATCCCAGTGTGAACACAGATTTCCCTTTTAACAGTCTAAACAACTTGTTTATCCAATTTATTTGTCCGTCTGTTAGTGCCATTAGTGCTGAGTGAACCTGTAGTCTAGTAAAATTACAGTTTAACTGAGCATTAATTATTTCTCGATAAGATTGGGGCTTTTCGTGTTTTTACTGAACTGCAGGTATTAGGAATAACAAGGCCTGGATCATATCCCCACCATGCAATGCGTGTCACTGCATGCGCGCATTACTTGATATTTAGCAAATTTATACATTACATTTGTTACAAAAATTGAAAGATTCATGTATTGTTCTGCATGTTATAAATTTGCAGCCATTAGTTTCAAGGTCAGTACACAATTATAATCTCTATTTAACAACGTGGGAACCAAATTTTGAAAAATTGCTGAAGATTTATCGCAACAAATATCCCATTAAATTTTGTTAGAAATTATTGTAGAATAATTTAATTTTTTTAAGTATAATGATTTATTTTTAGGAAATGTAATTTATGCATGTATTGAAATGACTTCTGTGATTTTATATAATATACTTATCAAATAATAATAAATAAATGTATGTACCTGATTAAATTTATTATTATTTACGTAAAATAAGTAATTCACTTTTAGTTATAGTTAGTTAG